CAAGAATTTGTAACATGCTATGAGACATCAAATCATGAAATATGGCTGAGAAATTTTGTCACAGGGCTGCAAATTGTGAAGGCATTGAAAGACCACTTAAGTTATATTATGACAATAAATCAGCTGTATTGTTAATGAAAGAGTACAAAGTGGACAGATTTTCATAGAACACTTAAGGACAAACTCCATGATAGCATATCCTCTAACTAAATGACTTTCGCCCAAGGTCTTTCATGAGCATGTTGCTCACATGGGTGTTTTACAGTTTGAGGAATTTGTGGTTTAGTGGGAGTTAGTCACTTTCATATATTTTATGTTCTATGTTTAATTTCATATATGTATACATTGATTTTTGAACATATTTGGTTATCTATAGATATGCAGTTTTTCGTTCATTCATTACACTTTGTACATTAAGGATATTATATCGATCTCGATAAGTTAAAGTTTGGACCAGTTGAAAATAGACGTGTACGAGATCACCTTCACGTAATTTTTCATGCTACACATTTCATGATGAATCCATGTCATTTGGTTATGTTAGGATGAGTAATCATTGTTGGTTTTAGTTGCGATGATGCAATGAAAAACTGGTTTGGTTCTATATCCTGATATGATTAATGGACAGGACTTTTGGAGTATGCTAAAGGAATATAATGACAATTTTGAGCTCATAAAGTCTAACACATTTGTAAGGTTGTAAGGACATATATATTTGTGACCAGTGGGAGATTGTTGGCAAAATTTGGGTCATGTATATATATGATACATAATTTAAATGTGTTAGGGTCATTATTTATTAAGTCAAATAATAAAGTGATCTGACTAAATTAAAGTTTTGGCTAAAGGCATATGTCATGAAAATAAAACTGTGTAGAGACCATAGAGTAATTTCTAATTTGATGAGGGGCCAAATTGGAAATACTAAAACTTAAGTAATTAACCTAATTCTGGTTATTTTAAGGGGTCGTGGTCCCCTTCTGGGAGCACACACACAGAACGTAAGTATCAATCCCGTTCCTTTCTTTCTATCCCCATCAAGAGAGAAAATCAAGAGGGAAATACAAGTGCTCTTCAGGTGGAAGACCACAAGATCAATATAGTGCTCTACAAAGACATCATCGTTATGACTAATTTAAGTTTTACAACAACATATACTACTAGTCAAAAGAGTCATGCAAGAGTTTATTAAGATTTAGAAGGAGTATAAAAATCTGGCCTAATTCATAAATCATCACTGAAAATTTTACTTAATATAAATTGTATGATCTTTTACCAAATGATTTAATCATGGTTGAAGTTGCAAAAAGACAATTGAAATTTTAATTATTGCAATAGATTCTTTTATGAAATGAGTTGAACGGAGCCGTTAGCTAGTGTTATAGCATAACAAGTTTAGAATTGTATAGACATAAACTACCTAATGTAATATAATCATAATTAATAAAAAAAAGAAGATAATTTGCAAAGTTTAGAAATATATAGTCATGGACTTTTTAATGTAATGTAACCATAATCAATAAGAGAAGACAATTTGTAATACGTTTAGAAATGTGTAATCATGAACTTTCTAATGTAATGTAACAATAATGGATAAAAGAAGATAATTTGCACAACAATTCTAGAAAAATGTAATCATGACCTAATATAATGTAATAATAATAGATAAAAGAAGACAATTTACTAATAAAAATTTATAATAATTATTAGAGGATTTTGACATCAAACATAATCTCCTTGTTATTATCTTTTTAATTTAATTTTATCCAACAATTAAATTGCTAGTAAATGATGGAATAACTTCATAATTCCTGATAAATACATCCTTCTGGCAGCTCTTGTGCCCCTACAAGTGCCCATGATTCTAGCCTACGCCTCGGTCTTGTGGTGGAATAGTGCTCCGGCATTAATCGCTTTGTCGCATTTTCGCCGTTACTTTCCTTAATTTCTATTACCTAGCCACCAACAATCCTTACTCTCTAAAACTTCAGCTTAATAGCGGCATACACGCTTCAGAAATGCATGATTTTGTTTACTCTTTTTCTATGGTCTGCCCTCACAAAGTGTGGTAGCCTCGACTGGATCATCACCCTCTTCTCACTCTCCACTGTACAACACGATCATAGTAGGAGTGCCGCTTATGACCGCCATGTACGGAACTCTCCACTCATTTTTTTTTCATGATTTTCAATTTTATTATTAAAATATACATTTAAGTCACATTATTACGAATGGATTAATACCCATCAATTTTTTTATTGCTTGGTAAACTTTTTTAATTGAGTTATTAATAATGTTTGATTATAAAAATTTAATAAACTCCTTAACATTATTATTTAAACATAAATAATTTAATATTCATAATCTTAAATTTACTAAAGTTTAGTTAAATATCAATCCATTAAATATTATATATATATAAATAAAATAATCTATTCAATCAAATTCTAAACCTTTATAAAGAAAATATAACCTGTTATAACCATATCAACGTGCATCTAAATTCGAAACTCTTATAAAGATTTTCAATTATTTAATTGCACTATTATTTAATTGTTTTTATTTTTTAAATTACGTTACTTTAATCGATCGATCTTAGTTTTTCATGTAGCTCGATGAAATAAGATTTATTTTAGCAACCGTGACACGTTTTAGAAAAGTTAATCTCATCTAATAAAAAAGTTTATTTAAACAAATAAAAATAAAATATTAGTTATGTATAATATTTAATTAGATCAAATTTATTTTAATAAAATTATTAAGTACAATATACATTTATTAAAAACCTTCAATTATACTTGATAAAAAAATTTGGGATCCTAAATGATATAATAAATTATAATACTTAAAAAAAAATCAATGTGAAATGGGATTCAATTGATATATAATTTGAAAGAAAGTCTCTCTTAGTGGTTGATTTTAAAAGGGTTATATTTGGTTGATAAGAAAACATAAAAATAGGAAAAAAAAAAAAAAGTTTATGAAGCGACCAGAGGTCAACCTCAGGAGGTTAAAAAAGAAAGAAAGAAGAGAAATGGGACCCAGCTCATAGATCTACGTGTGCAAACAGGGAACGTATATTAGAGAAGACTGGACAAGAACCAAGCGTTTGGGAGAAAAAAATAAGGCCAACAGGGTGAATGCATTACCTTGCATTTCATTTCATTGCATTCTCATCTCGTTCAATTGAATCTCACGTAACGCAACGGCACACAGGAAGAAGAGGATGGACGCGTCGCCGAGTGGAGAAGGATCTGAGCGCGGCGAAGACAAAGGGATATTCCAATACTTTGGTTGGGTTTATCACATTGGCGTCAATTCCGTTGGCCGCGAGTATTGCCACCTCCGATTCCTTTTGGTCAGGGGCAAGTGCGTTTCCATGTACAAGCGTGACCCTCACGAGAACCCTGACATTGTATCTCTCTTCTCCTTCTCTCTTTCTTTTTCTCTCATTCCCCAGTTTCTTTCTTATTCCCGCGCCACATGCAGTTATAATTTCTATGTGGTCTTAATATAAAGCTTTTTCAACTCTCAATGCATACGACTTAGACTCACTTTTTATGTGTAGTTAATATAATCAATTTTCAACGCTCAACCAATATCATATTTTTTTACCAGCTCGAGTTGAAGATATAGGTTTACAATATCAAGTTAATATGATTTTTGGAGTGCATATATATACATACATACATATATATTATATATATATATATATATATATATATATATATATATATGTATTTGTGTGACCTTCAAAAATTTTAAATAGGAGAAATGCTCATAATTTAATTTAAAAAAAAATTAATAATAAAAAAGCGTGTTAGAAAATGTATTGGTTCTACTTCTCTTCAGTTTATTGAATAATTCTTTTATGAATGTGAAAATTTGGACTATGAAATATGTTAGCTGTGTTACTTTATTCTCGAATGATTTTGTTGATAGGAATTTATCCTACCAAAAGTTGCTACCCTATCGAGTAATTAATTCCTTATTGAAGTTGTTAGCTTGATAATTAACCAGTTATGACATGGGAACACTTTATATAGAAGAATTTTTGTGAAACCAATACAAGCAACATCCTAATATTTTTGCTCATAATATTTGAACAAATTTTGTTCTTAATGTGAGTTGTAATCACTGGTGAGCAAACTGTTTTACTTTTGTTTAGTGATATTGAATTTGTAGATTACATTTTTGCTTAGATATATCAAATTAAAAGTTTATCGTTTGTTCAGAAACCCATTAGACAGGGAGTCATTGGTGCCACATTAGTGGTGGAGGAGCTAGGATGTCGGAAGGTCGACAATGGGGTAAAACACTAATGTTTACATTGCTTGAATTTACCAAATTTACTGATTTTGCATTTAGTTGATGGAATATACTCTTCTAGGAAGTTACAACTAGCTTTTGTTTTGTGACTTTATTAAATTTCCTTGTACAGTTCATGGAACCTAACTAAATATGTTTTATTTCCTTCTCCAGGATCTTTTTGTAGTACGATTCTACAGTCGATCAGATGAGGACAGAAAGGGAGAAGTAAGCTATAGTTCTGAACTGTTCCTTTTTAATAACTGTTGATAGAAAGCTGCTTGTCATATACGTGCTTTTAACTGGTCTAATAGTTCATGAAGAATTCAAGGTAGCTTATTAATACATGTTCTACACAACACTAAATTTAAAACAGTAGTTCAAGCTTCCAACTTTTAACATATGGCATAAGAAGAAATAGAAATGCAGAAAGAAGAAATAGCAGCATGAAATTTGTGGGCTAAGAAGAAACGAAGGGATGGGGGGCTCTTTTACGCATATTCCACCTCCCTCCCTATTTTAATCTCCAAATGTATATCTCCTCAATATCTAAAACATGATGGTATGTTTGGAATTCCGTTGCCTTCTCGTAGCAATCTATTGTGCAATTTACCCCATTTTGGATTAAGGGACACATGCCCTGTTGAGGTTTACTCACAACATTTTTCATTGTAACATCAAGTTGTGACATATATATATATATATGTCACAAGTACCAAAATTGTTCAGATATAATCAACACCTGTCCAGTTGATCACTCATGGTGGTTTCTCTCGAGAGAACTTTCTATCTCAAAATGAAAATCTAGTCTTGTATTTAGTTTCTTCATGGAAGACCAAATTCGATGCATAAAGAGAGACTTGATTATCACAAATAAGCTTAGTGTTATTATGCGTGTCTTCGAAGTGTAACTCTTTGAGAAGTTTCCTAAGCCATGTGATTTCACATTTGTTGCCATGGCACAGTATTCCTTCCAATAAAGGCACAATAATTAGAGGTAAACCTCCGGTTTCATGGTGATTCTACACAATTTTGCAAGAGTGAAAAACAATTTTGGCATGTCTTTATCTTTGTACAAGAGTCCACGACTTGGTGCATTAGCCTCAGCACTCTTCATAGAGTATACATTGGCAGCCCTCTTCACTGATGCAAGTGATCAATTCCACTCCTCACTATTAGTTTCAACCACAACCATGATTTGTTAATGCATGTGCTATAAACCATGTGATCTCTGACCCACAATAATTACAAAGTGAAGTTTCCCTTCATGGACAAGAGTGCCTTTATCTTGGGACCATGGTTTATGCTAGGGACCATGGTTTATGCTAGGAATCAAGAATAGAACAGAGAAAGAAAAGAAATATTTTTATTTGATAATAAGAAAAGAACAAGAAATAGGAGAGCACTCTCTTCTCCAAGGGTTTCTTCTATTCAAAGGATTTATCCTTTCATAAAGAGATGATGCTCAATTTACAATAACAAGATTCAAATCTCTCCTATCTTTCTTCCCCTATTTATATCTAACTAACCCCTCTCCTACTCTAACTATCTCAATAAACTTCTCCTTCTCCTTATATCCTATAGTTTGTCTTCTATTTATGTTGGCTCAACTTCCTTTAAGTATCCCCTTAATCTCTCCCTAAATAATTTGTTACTTGTGCCATTTATCACCAAAAATCTAATGAATGTTAGTATATTTTCTCTTGATAACTCAACTTATTTTGAGTTTCACCCAATTCATTGCCTTGTTAAATCACAGGACTCAGAAAGTTATACATGAAGGACACTTGGGAGTTGATGGCCTCTACTCCTTCCCTAATCTCGTATAGCTAAGCAAATCCTCAATACACCTTCTCTTTTATCCAAGTCTTTACATTTTGTTCAATCTCTTTTATCTGATTTATCCACTAGTTCTATAGTACCGCAAATAACTGTAAAATCACCACTCATGCTAACCTAAACATCTTATGTTTCCTTTCTTAATGCATATAGTGGATATACCTGCATCTATTTTCTTACACCAAGTTTGAGATGTTGGGTGTGTTTAAACAATTTCAAATATGGTTAATTGCAGTAAGAAACAAAATTAAAGCACTTCAAATATATTGAGGCGGTAAATTTTGACCTTTCTACCAATACTCTACATTGGTATACATCATAGACTGACTCCCTTGCTCTCACACCACCAAGATGGGCTTTTTTACCAATAGCATCAAGATATTGTAGAAATGGTATCTATCTTTGTTGTCCCATTGCACTTTACACTTATGTTACTAGATCGGGCTTTTTTATTTCATGTCATTCTTCTCCTACCTTACACACATCAATATCTTTGTCGAATTCTTTGAGTGTCCTTTTCTTCTTGGTTTGCAATCCCTGCCCCTCACCAGAGCTTCAGTTGACTTGCATATTGTTTGACTTGTCTATACAACATGCCCCACATCAGTCTCCTTTCTCATTGTCCACTTCTACTTCTAATCCTATTCGCGCTACTTCTCCTTTTGCTACCACTTCTTTACCCTTGGTTTCTATCCCTACTGTATCTACACATCCTATGTAGACTTGGTGTAAGTTTGGCATTTCCAAATCCAGACATAATCCTATTCTTCTTCTTATGCTAAACTCACATAATTCAAATAAGCTTTTACTGTTTCTCACATTGAACTTGATATCTTCTCTGTTTGGGAGAAATTTATTATCAATTCCCTGGTAGTTGTTTACATTTCTTCTTTTGATCACGTGACAAACATTTCTGCAAGGCTTTTCTAATTTTACTGTTGTAAGTAACTAACCAAAGTCAATTATGCTGAACTGTCAATTAGTTAGATGTATAGTCTAGTCAGCAAAACTTGCAAAGCAAGAAATTGCATTTGTATTTATTTTGTATAAGCAATGCAATATCACTTAGTTCTCTTTTTCTCCCACTCTATTATCTTAGTTTTTTATGTGAAATGCTCGTCTCATAAATGAAGATTTATTTTTAAGGGTAAATTAATCTAAATTGATTAGTTTTTAGTGATAGTCTCTTGATTGAACAAATACTTGATTGTTTGTATTGAAGAACTTATTTATTTGAAATTGAATAGAGTCGTTTTTTTCATGGATGTTATTTTCTTCTTTTCTTTCTTTATTTATGCAGCATATAAATGAGTTTATTACATATATTTTTTTCAAGATTGGTTGTGCCACAGCTGAGGAAGCCCAGAGATGGGTGGAGGCGTTTCTTCAGGCCAAGCAACAGGTATGAGAAAATAATTGTAAGGTTGCTATTATAATGTAAATGTTTAAAATATTACTAGTGTTGTAATTGTTACACAACTTGTTAAAGATAGTTTGTTTATGGGGCAAGGGATTTGGATCAAAGTTCATGATATGAAATTTATAGAACTGGTAGCATAACAATATAAAATATCAAATTTCATCAACATAATATTATTGAAAAATCTTCCTTTGAGAATGTCATGAAACTAGTATAATAATAGCGAGAAAGAATCTTTATTATTATTGAAAGAAACTAGGAAAGTGATAGGAATTTGGGTATTATTGGGTCTGTAAATCACATATAGAGTAGTATGGGATGCTTGGTAGAGTATTTAAGTACTTCATTGCCCCCCTTAAGAGCTAGTTTTTTAAGGGTGGGGTCCCTAAGTTCTTGAATACTTATCCAATGGTATCAGAGTTGGTTGTCAATGTCAGAAAAAAGCTACCTATGGAGGGTTCTAACTGGTGGATGCTTTTGACCAACGGGGAATTGAGTGAAGTGTTGTAGAGTGAAAGTCATCGAGACATCAACTCTTATGAGCAATACTATGATAGGCAGTTGGGTGTTATAGGGTGTTCAAGTCCCACATTAAGTAGTATTGGATGTTAGGTAGAGTATTTAAGTGCTCTGTTTCCTTGCCTTAATAGTTAGATTGATTGTCAGATTTCATCTTAAAAATAATTGGGATCAAGAAAATTTGTTCAACAGCTATATAAGTTGCACTCCAATAATTGAGTCAGGCGGTATAGGACTTCTTAACACCTCCCTTCAAAGATGTTTGCCAAAGCAGACGAGTTTATCATTAAGCATGACAACTACAATCCAATATCAACTTCCAATGTTGCTTGGTCATACACAAACAAATGGGTGCCTACAGTATCTTCCAATGCTTTGTTTTCAGCTATCTTTTTAACATTGAAACAAAACATGATTTCCTCTACAATTGTAAAGTGAGTCTAGTCTATTTGGTGAAGAAATTCATCAATTCAGTGACCCACGTAATGCCTTTATCATGCAAAGGCCTATCTTTCCATGGACATTAAAACTGTTAGAATTATTATTAGTTAGTGGTTAATAGTTAGTAGTTGGTAGTTGATGGTTGGTGATTCTTAGTAGTTGGTGGTTGTTGTTTTAAATGTTGTAATCCTATATATATATATATGAGATCATAGAGTGGAGTAAGACATCCCACTAAATTAGAAATCTTCTTTTCACTCTCTTTACTCTCTTAAATTGGTATCAAAGCAGGTTGGTCCTGCTCTGCCTGTCCGGCCACTATCTGACCATTTTCCGGTCACCGTCCGACCATTTTTCAGCCATTTTTCGGTCATCGTCCGACCATTTTTCTGGCCACTTTCCGGTCACTTTTCGGCAACAGTTAGCCCCTCGTCTAGTCACCCTTTTTTTTTTTGCTGCCGTCTGACGACTTTCCGACCACCTTCCAGTGACCTTCCGGCCTCCGTTCCGCTACAGTTGTTCGCTGCTACCATTCGTCAGTTTTCTTGCAAAGTGAAAATTGATACTTCCCTCTCTATCTAATTCTATCTTGGGTGTTCTCCTTCTTACAGGTTTCATTGTCTCCATCTTACATCTACATTATTTAAAACATGTCGTCAGGGCCCACAATCTCCTTTTTTGGAACTCCCACTATAACGGTTGAGAAATTAAATGGAAAAAATTACATGTCTTGGTCCTCTTCAGTGGAACTTTGGTTCCTTGGACAAGGGTTTCATGGTCATCTAGAAGAAGACGGAAGTAAGATACCAGAAGATCAGGCTCAACAATGGAAAAAGCTTGATTATCAACTCTGTGCTCTACTGTGGCAATCAATAGAACCAAATATTTTGAACACTCTCAGATCCTTCAAAACATGTAACTCTTTCAGGAAAAAAGGCTCAGAATATCTTTGCAATGATATCCAACGCCTCTATGATTCCGCTAATCGATTAGCCTCTCTCAAACAAGTGGATAAAGATATGATGACCTTTATTGCTGAAACTCAATCAGCAGTTGAAGAATTAAAGATGTTTCTAGAGGTGGATTCGTTAGAGGAGATAAAACAAAAGTTAGATAAATTCTATATGGTTATGACTCTCTGGCCTATGAATTCAGAATTTGATCATGTTAGAGATCAAATTTTAACTGGACAAGAAGTTCCTTCTATGGAAAGTTTGATTACAAGACTGCTTCGTGTTCCAACTCTCAAAGGAAAAAATAATCAAGAACTTGTTGAATCTTTTGCTATGATTTCTACTCGTGGAAGAGGAAGTCGCGACACTAGAGGAGGACGTGGAGGTAGAAGACGTCCTCAGTGCACTCATTGCAAGAGAATGAGTCATACCCTGGAAAATTGCTACTCTTTGCACGGTTTTCCTGACAAAACTATCAATTTTTCCAAATCTGAAATGGTTGAACCTAAGTTCTCTCACGAAGAATATCAGGAATATTTGAGGTTGAAATCCAGTAATCTAGCACAGTCATCAACAACCCCAAATTCATCAACAACTTGCATTACAGTCTGTGGAAAGTCAAAATCCATGGATTATATTGACTCAGGTGTTTCTGATCACATGTTTGGTAATACCTCTTTGTTCTCTTCTCTCTCATTTCCTAAAACTCCTCATCTCATAACCTTAGCCAACGGATCTAAAGTAGCCTCTAAAGGAACTGGTCAAGTCTCCATTTCTCCGTCTTTAAACTTAAAATCTTATCTTTTTGTTCCTTTATGTCCCTTCAGTCTCATGTCCCTTCAGTCTCATTTCCCTAAGTCAATTAACCAAATTATATAATTGTTCAGTAACCTTTAATGCCAACTCTTATGTTATACAGGAACGTGGTACGGGTCTACAGATTGGCGAAGGACATGAATCTGAAGGCTTATACTACCTTGGGACTAAATAATCTGTATCTTGTGTTACATCCTTATCTCCAAAACTATTACACGAACGTTTAGGGCACCCTCACTTGTCAAGATTAAAAAAAATGGTTCCTGAACTTCAGACTCTTTAAGATTTTGAATGTGAATCATGTCAACTAGGAAAACATACTAGATCCTCTTTTCCTAAACGTTCTGAATCTAGATGTGACTCTGTCTTTTCTCTTGTTCATTCTGATATTTGGAGTCCTAGTCGTGTCTTATCCTTTGGCTATAGATATTTTGTTACCTTCATTGATGAGTTTTTAGGTGTACTTGGATTTATCTAATGAAAGACCGTTCTGAATTTTTACCTATATTTAAGTCTTTCCTTAACGAAATCAAAAATCAATTTGGAAAAGTAATCAAAGTTTTACGAAGTGATAATGCCAAATAATACTTTTCTACTAATTTCTCCACTCTTTTAAGCTCCCAAGGCATTTTACACCAGTTTACTTGTCCTCACACACCACAACAAAATGGTATAGCAGAACGAAAAAATAGACATTTGGTTGAAACTGCTCGTACCTTATTACTTGGTGCAAATATGCCTGTTCATCATTGGGGAGATGCTATTCTCACTACATGTTTTCTCATTAACATAATGTCATCTTCTTCTCTTGACAATAAAGTTCCACACTTTATTCTATTGCCAAAGGAGCCACTCTTTCATGTTTCTCATCCTGTATTTGGTTGCGTATGTTTTGTTCATGATGTCTCCAGGTTTAGATAAACTATCAGCTAGAGCCATCAAATGTGTCTTCTTGAGATATTCTCGTCTTAAAAAAAGATATCGATGTTATTCTCCTGAAACCAATAGGTACTACATGTATGCTAATGTCACTTTTTTTGAGTCAACTCCCTTCTTTCCTTCTTCTATGTAGGATATTAGTTTGGTCCAAAATGTCCTACCTATACCCTTAGTGGAGCTATTTGTACCTCCTCCTCCTGACACCCAAAATTCCACACAAAATACACCAGAATCCTCATCACTGCCTCTTATTATCTATCAACACAGGAGCCAAATGATCAGTCTCATGTCCCAAGATGAGTCTTCCTCAGCAGATCCATCTCATTCATCCCATGATACCACGATTCCTGATAATGATGACTCAAGTTTAGGGATGGCAAAACGGGTCAGGCCTGGCGGGCTGGCCCGCTAGCCCGCCATAATATGGCAGGGCGGGTTGGTGTTTTCAGCCCACCAGCCCGCTTTGGCCTGCCCCGCCAAACCCGTCAACCCGCTGGAATAACCTGCGGGACGGGCGAGCCAGCCTGCAGACACACCTAATTAATAAAAAAAATAATTTTTTATTGTAATAAAATTAATTATAAAGATAATATATAAAGTTAAAAATTTTAAAAAGAGAATTAAAAAAGTTTCACCCTCACGGAAAATATTCTCCTTACTGAAACACAACATTCTCTTTCTTGTTCTCCTTGTTCATCTTAAGCACTGATTATTTTTATCCTTATGACTTGAATTAAATGTGTAAGAATTACTCAACCAAGAATAATGTGAAGTTTTATCAAATAAAAAAGATATAGGTATTTGAGTTTTTCAATATAAAAAATATAAATTTTATAAGTTTTAACGTTATCTATATATATATATATATTTGTTATTATTTATTATTATGTAAATTTTATTATTGTTGTAAATTATAATTTCTTAAAACAATATATTGATTTATATTATTAAATTGAAATAATATATATATATATATATATATATATATTGAATTATTGACAAAAAAATAATAATCTTATTATTAAATTTATTAAAAAATTTATTTTAAAAAATAAATTATTTTTTTCTAAATTATGACGGGCTAACCCGACCAGCCCCTTGGCGGGGCGGGCCAAGGTCTACAACCCGTCATGACTATAACGGGTCAACCCGTCCCGCCCCGCTTTTGGCGGACCAAAGGCGGAGTGAGCCAAAACGGGACGGGCTGATCCGTTTTGCCATCCCTACTCAAGTTGGCTCATTGTCATTCGCAAAGGTACTCGCTCTACTCGTAATCCACATCTCGTTACAATTTTCTTAGCTACCATAGATTGTCTCCTTCCTATTTTTCTTTTGTTTCTTCTGTATCCACTATTACTATTCCAAAAAATGTGAAAGAGACACTTGATCATCCTGGATAGCGACAAACCATGATTGATGAAATGCAGGCTCTTGAGCACAATGA